AGCTCTCCTGATCACACACACACACACACATATTTACGTGCTGAGCTCTAAGAGATAGGGCGATATGAATATCCCTATCCATGTGATCTTCTTGTGGGCTGGCACGTGTGTACTTTAATTATTTCTATCACTGTCAAATCTGAAAATTTAATAAAATAAGATGTTTTCAATTAAATTTAAAGGATCTAGCGCAGCATGGAATCGTATCATTTGGGTGTTGGAATATAATTAGGTCAGATAGATGTTTTATAATTATAACAACCTAAATATCAAATCGGTTTCCCTGAGTAAGACAAAAGTAAAATAAAAAAGTAAATGAAACAGCTAGAGAACGTTTTTTTAGGTAATCCTAGCTAAAGAACTTTTACTTTTGTATGTCTGATCATTATTGGGCGTTTTATTTAATTAAATTTAATCCTCTTGTTTTACGCGGGAAAGCTTTACCTAACCCAAACTTTTTTTTTTTGGGGTAAAAAAACCCAAACTTCTCTAGTTGTTTCTGTAAGATATAGTATTTAGAATGATGATGAGATTCCTTGATAATTGGCAAGAGTTAGTTGGTTTAAGTGACATGCACGTGCAAATTAAAAAAGGGGATTAATATCAATTACCCACAGTTTATAGTTGTTGACTATGTCCTTAATCACTCCCTGTCAATGAACAAAAGTAATACTTTTTAATTGGATACATTCCATTCCAAATATGTACTTGAGATAATTACAAACGATCAATGGGTAAGTATTGCCTCACGTGTTTTTTTTTTTTGGGGTAAACAAATACCACTATATCCTTTATGAACTTCCATGGACAAAAGTTTTCTGTTCCTTTTTTTTTTTTTACTAAATTCTATTCCATATGAATTTTCAAGTTATTAGATAGATTTAAATTCATTTATAAAAATCAACAATGATCAATGAAATTTTAAGTTGAATCCCTTCATGTATGGTTCACCACTTCGTTCATGTAAAATCACAATAAAAGAAAAACCCATGTAACTATTAATATAGTTTTTTTTTTTGGGTCAACAACTGTTAATATAGTTAAAACATATGAAAATATCTAAGTGATTTTCTGTATTTTTTACAATATCATGCTAGATGGCTTGAATATATCTGAAAAATATATCAGGATTTAGACTATAGTTTTTTTGGCCAACTCATTTAAAGTATAGCGAGTACCATATTAACAAGGCCTAAATTCTTGAGATTTTTTTTTTGCCAAAAAAAAGTCTTGAGATGTTTGCAAAAGTGTTTTTATTACAACTCAAACAAATATATTTCATAAATAGGATATGAATATTTTGATCATTTACAGTCAGGATTAATTAGAACGATTAAAAGGGTCGCCAATAATAAATCATGAATGGTTTGTCAAGAATACAATTTTTTTTTATGTGGCCATATAACTAGGTTGGATTTAAGTATTGTTGGATTAATTGAAAGCAACTCGTCCAAAAAAATTCTTTTCGTGCTTAAGTAGTTAGGGTTCCAAACAAACTTGCTTTAGAGACCCCAAAGAAAGGGAGTTTACAAAAACAGCCTTTTCTTTTTACAACAAAAACACTGGCTTTTTGTTGTCTTTTGTTGCCTAGGTACAAGAATGGGTCATTGATTTTCTGGGCCCATTGGACTTCGAAGGCCATGGGATGCCAACTATGCCCAAACCTCCATCTTTTTTTTTCCATTTCTTAAGAAGTAATCAAAAACTACTCTTTATATTTTGGATAGGAGAGAAATAGAATATATCACATTTTTTCCATTTCCGTGCACTATTCACAATACAGTATAATTTATTATAATTTTTTGAATACATAGATGTAGGTAGTTTAATTTCAATCTATGTTTAATTTTCTGTACCAGCTAAATTTAAAATTCGTTGACATCATGTGTTTCAAATCAAGGCCAACGAGAAAAAGTGTTTGGAACCCAGACTACAATTTGCCCTCATGTGATCCATGTGAAAGATTTTATCAAACATGATGTAAAATATTGTAATTTTTTAAAATATTAGTCTGTTGCTCATTGATGCAATAATTCATTCAATTTGATTAGCAGAATCTTCAATATATATTATTTTTATTATTTATTTAGCATTAGTCACTCATTATATATTATTTTTTTTATTTTAGGATGATTATAAGCTTATACCATCTAAAACATGTAATTATATGATAACTTTGTAGATTCTCTTGTGTAAGATGATACATGAAAGAAATAGGTCTCTCTTTTAACAAAGAAAGAAAAAGACATGCTAGAAATTTTCAATGCCAAGAAAGAAAAATGGGCCAATCAAAATTTCATCAAGTAGTTTGATTTATAAGAAAGGCTTGAGATGCTAAAAAAAAAAAAATTATCTTGTATTTGCGAGCTATGTTTGTTGAGTTGAGTGTCCCTTACTTCACACTGTCCAATCCATTATTGTATAAACATTTTTAAAATAAAGAAAAACATAAAAAGAAGAGAGAGGGAGATACTCAAATGAGGATAGTTAGGTAATTACATAATAAAATATGCGAGACCCCTCGTAACAGAGGACATTAATCTTCTACTTAGTTTGAAAAAAATAAAAGGAGGAAGGAGATATTTCAAGTTTAATTTAAAAATATGGACAAATGAAGTTATAACATTTTAATGGAGTGAGAATGTAATAGACTAAAAATAAGGAAATTCAATTAAAAGCTTTCTACTATATTTCTCCCTTATTTAAAATCATAGTATAAATATAAACAATAGATTAAAATTATGCCAAAAAATTTATATAATACATATCATCTTTTTTAATTTGTTAACTTTATGCATGTTTAAAAAAATATTAATAACAATGTGCAATGACAATTTATTATCCCTTACATGTTAGAAATATAAGAAACAACTCGTTCTTTAAAATATGATTGAAAATAATTTTTTTATGTTGTTAATTTTTTTTAAAAATATAATTTTAAAAACGTTGGACTAAAAATACTTTATAAAAAATGATTTGAAAAACAGTGAAAATATTAAGTATAGTAACTTTTTACTGTAGATCTACAATAAAATTAAAAATTAGTATACTTTACTATACTAGTAGACGTTCATCACTTTTTTTTTCCTGGCATAAAAACGAATTATTTTTAAAAAAACATTTCTAGAGATATTTATTAATTATCCATTAACAAAATTTTTATATTGATAATGAGATTTGAACTTATAATCTTATAATTTATAGATCAAATCTGTAGAGCCTTATTAAAATTTGCCGATTCTACGCCAATCTTTTAGTTTTAATTTAGACGACAAAACTTGAGAATAATATTTGTTAAGGAACACTTGCCAAAACAATAAAATACATTTCAAACCTGAACAAGCAAAATGAGTGTGTTTATTCTCCGGAGACAAAAGTTGCATTGCATTATTGGCTCGATCCCTCGAGCACATCTTCTGTTGTCGGCATTCTTAAGTCATTGCTTCACAACCATGAGATACTTTGTAAAAGCTAAAAGACTAATGAACCTTTTGGAGCGGTTTTCCACAACGAAACATCGGAGGCAATGTCATGCTCGCATAATCCTCAAAGTTTGAACACAACCTTCTCATCTTCAAAAAGATCATTCTTCTTTGTGCCGTGTTGGAGCGTGGAGACATGAGTTATGCCTTCTCTTTCTTCGATGGGTCGAAAAGCCAAACGCGTTTCTCTGAAACACCACGATCAAGGGCTTCTACGAGACCACTAAACCCCAAAGAGAAACCAGATAATTTCACCCTTGCTTTCTTGCTTAAAGTTGCTGGGCAACTGAGGTTTGTTTTTCTGGGGAACCAGTTTCATTATAAACCCTTAAACTTATCTGCCCATGCTTATGTTGAGAATTCTCTCATGCATATGTATGGTATGTTCAAGGACCTTGACACTGCACGCTGCCCATTTGATAAAATGCCAATGTCGATTTAGTGGCTTGGAACTTTATCATAGACTTTCATGTCTGTTGTGGAAACTAACAAACTCAAAAGACATAAATCAAAAAACTTCATTAAAGGCATGCTTAGACAGCCAAGGTTTGTTAATCAAGTACCGAGTGTGATACCCAGATTAGAAACACTAGTTCAATAAATTGCCTCATCACCGCACATTGCAGAAAACAAAATAAAAATCAAACACAAAACAGAATCTATATAAATTTCAGCCATATTTGAAGTGAGAAGTTGATGGTTTTCTTAACAAGCAAATTCCCGTAAACAAATAAAAAATCAAACTGATTACAGGCCTTCATTATTACACCCGTGTAGAACGCTTTATCACATGAGATACTTCCTGGAGCCCAAATAACCAACAGTCTTCAATAGAGAAATCATTCGAATCTCCATTATTAATCATAAGGCTTTTATGCAATCCTCTGTTGGCCTTTTTTCACTTTCAAAGGGTAATACATATAAAATCATGCATAAAATTCTAGACATTTTGAATTGTCACAATATCATTTGTTTTTTATTTTTGGTTGGGGGGAGCTTCTACCTTAGATCCTTTGAATTGAAAGCATCACTCAAGTACGTGCAATTTAAGAATTAAAAATTGTCGATGAGTATGCAACATAAAATAAAGACGACGCATTCCTACTATAAAGCAGCCTCAGCATATCTAATAATACATGAAATTCAAGTATATCAACAACCAAAACATCATCAATAATTGACCTCATCATATACATGGTTGGTGGATGGGTTTATCCACTGTAAAAATCAATAGACATATGGAAGCTTCAATTGTGATTATGAATCTAGACGTCCCTGTTTATTCACAAGCCAATTAATGATATCTCTCATGTCCTGATAGAAAACTTTTTGTTCTAGAGTTTATCAATATTGATCTCTGTAGCTTAAATCTATCTTAATGCTGGGTCTTGTAGGAAGAACTGCTCGTAAACATAAAATAAGGGGCACTTAGGCTTTTTGTCCTAAATAAACCATAAAGACTTAGAAAATCTAACATCCACCAAAAACTTAGGTCTATCAAATAATGCTTGATAAAATTATGCATCAAAGATTCCCAACAGACAAATCATCATTCTCTTATAGAGTGCTAATGTCCCTGTCTTTGTTATCAGCACCTGCACATTATATAATTGTTAAAAAAATCTTGAGAGAAACATAATCTTAATATGGTGCCTAAGCAAAAGTTTTAATCATAGTAGAAATCATTAATGGCAGAAACACAGAAAGAATCCATAGCTCTGATAGTCATTGTTCCCTAATTCAGTTCATTTAGCTATAGCAATAGTTCTAACAAGTTAACAACAACGCAATAACTAAGACTTCAAATAAACAAAACGTAATAGTTGAAGACCAGACTAAATAGAAAGTAAAAGCTTCTATTATATAATAAAGAATGAACTTACAATACAAAGGTAGCAAGCAGATTTCATATGTAGGACGCATGGAGGCTGGTCATTCAATTTCAAACCGCAAAACAAAGGCCTTTTTCATTTCCAAAACTTCTAAGAAAAGTGGAGGACGAATGGGTGCCTTAGATAAAAATTGATATCATGAAGAGGTAACTCTCAAGAGCATATTTAAATTCATCAAAAGAGGGCACATGTGAGATAGAGTAGAGAAAATCAATCATACGAAGATACAAGAGCAAAAACCAAAACTTTCAAAGATAAGACTGGATCTCTAGCGAGAAAAATAGAAAATCATATCGAGCAATTTTTTTCAGTTACGAATTTATATCCTTCTGTTCAAAGCCTGTTCGAGACATTGAAATTTTTTTTTATATCAAGTATTTTTTGAATGACTTTTAGAATGGGCACTTGAACACTTCAAACAACACATTCCGCAATCCAAGTTAGGGTTTAGGAGCACGGACATTTAAATTGAGATGAACAACTAGAGAAATTAGGGCACAAAAGGATGCTGAATGAAATCATGGCCTCTAATCTACCAGAAGGCTCAAGAAAGGGCATATCTATTTGAGCCTCAGGTCTAGGATGGGCAAATCTTTCATAGAAAAGTCCCTTGTAAACTTTTGAAGTCAAGGTCCCTTGTAAACTTTCAATATATAGGGATGTAGCATGCAAGAGGTATGGGGATTGATACCCCGCACCTCTAGTTTTGTTTACCTTTTTTTTTTCCTTTCTCTTCACTTTTTATCATAAATGAAAGTAAAAATTTACTATTATTTAATGACATGATTTATTCTTGCGCAAAATTTAATATTGAGAAGTACTGATAAACTTTTTTTGAACTTTTTTCCCCTATTATCTCTTTGATACACACACAAAATTAAGTGAAATGCTCCATTAAATAAGGACAAACATGTAAGGTGATGTTAATTTATAGACTTTAATTAATTTATTAGGGGTGTAATTTAATTACAAATGTCTTTTTTTTAAGGAGAGAGTATTGGATATAATGATATACTATCAATGGACATTCATGCTTCAACCTGGTGCTAATCACAAAAGTGGATACAGCTGGGGATGTTTGTAGAGTTTCAATTAAAGGGTCAAGAACAAATTGGATGGTGATGTCCAGGAACTGGGGTCAAAATTGGAATTATTGTGTTAGTATTAATATGACATTTACGCATAGGGTTATCATTAAAATGAGAAAGGCTTATTTTAAGATGTTCATGTATCATTTGATTTGTGTCATAGGTACTCTTGTTTTGCTATCTTTTAAAAATGGCAGAGACAATCCATGTGGTGGTGTCTTGAGTTAATGAGCTGCCATATTTAGTTTATATGGTTTGTGATAAACTTCTCTATTTCTATTATTTGCATTATACGCACCTTGAAAATGAAGAGCTTGATACGCATAATCTATAGATGTTGAAAAATAAAGGGGTCCTATGTGAGTAGGGGTGGAACTAGCCTTGATGTTAAAGGGGGCCAATTTTTGTTAAAAAAATACTTCCATTAAAAAATATAAGACATATTTAATTAAATTATAACTTGAAATGAGATAATTAATTATTTTTAAATTGATACCATCTTTTTATATTTATTCTTATTTAATATGGTGTCTCTTTTGAAGATAAATGATTGAGTGATATATTTATTAAAGGTATTTTTAGAGAAAAAAACTCATTAAATTACACATTAAAAACTAAAAATATCTTATATTTTTTAACATCTAACCTAAAAAAATATCTTATATTTTTAAATAAAAGGAGTATGTATATGTATAAATTGTTAATGAAAGATAAAAGAAAAAAATTATGATAAAAATTTTAATGACATAACTTAGATAAAAAACTATTTTCTCTCTATCTTATAAGTAGAATAGGAAGAAATATTACATAAGTGTATATATATATATATTGCATCTATGTATACTTGGATTCTTTTATCATTTATGAAACTTTTTTATGGAGTTAAATATCAGGAGACCCATGTATATGTATGGGAAGAGGTAGAGAGTTAGGGGGACATGGCCCTCCCCACCATATAGGTAGTTCTGCCTTTGCCTATGAGAATGATTTGGCATGTGGTTATCCTAAACATTTGGATTTGTGCACTAGATGGACTTTTTTGCTATTATTATTAAAAAAATATACAACATGAATACAAGATATAATGGTATTTAGTATGTTAACTAATAATAAGAAAGGGAAGTGCATACTTACCAAATCTAAATCTGTGATCACAGATCTTTTTCTAGCCAACAAGGTTACAAAAACAAATATGCAGATACGTTTGAAAGAAATATATTGGTTCAAGAGCCAAAGTACACACACAAAACCACCACACATTCGTCTTTCCCCTATTCCTTCCCTTATCATTGGTCTTGGTCGAAAAACATGGCCAATGGAAAGGAAATTATCGATGGTAAATGCCTCCCCTCCTCTCTCTCTCTCTCTCTCTCATGCATGCATGCTCGTAAGTCTGAGCTAACCTTTTGCTTGAATTATGAATGGTTGCAGGGAGATTAGTAATGTTGGAATTCTTAAGATTTTTGATTCAAAACAATGTGACAGGAAAAAGATCACGTGACAACCTCTTATAGTGCCTATTAGACTTATGGAGAAACACTATCATCCAAGCACTGAGGGGTAATCTTATGACGATTAATTTTTATAATGGATGACCTATTGATTTCCTTGTACAGAGGAACTAACATGTTCATTGCCCTTGCAAATAAACTAAATTTTTTTTTCACAATTCCTAATGCAATAGACACTTAAGTCTCAAAAGATGTATAATTATTTTTCATTCTGTACAAAATTCAAATTTACAGCCCAAATCTATTAGATTTCAATAGCCTGTACTCAAGTTAGTCAAGATAACCTAAACTCTACAACCTTAAATAGTATTTACAACTAATACATTAGGTGGCTAAAGCTCCCACAAACAAGTCTACTTTTTGCAAGTTTGGATTGTCTCTTTCGTCACCATCTTTCTTCATAAGCGGTAGCTATACTTTCAGTCACTGAAAAACATATGAAACTAATTATTAACCAAAACCACTTATTTATCAAAAATATCAAACTACAAGCTAGCACCAAAAATTAGAAAATAGTAAATATTTTTAGGACTAAGAATAGTTTTAGCAAATTCAAAAATCTATATTGGACTAAGGACTAATCAAATGAAAAAATGATTACTTACTTGATGGTAGCCATTCTCATTGTACATGGCAATGCCACAAGGTGTAGAAGTAGAATTCCAGAATTGATGTCCATTTTCAAAGATGGATTTAGGCAAATCAAAACTGTTATTAACTTGATAATCCACAGGGCTTGGTCTACCATTCATAGTCGGATGATGCTTCTGTTCCTCACTATCCAGTGGTGGTGGGTATGAAAACTGCTCACAACGTTGTGTACTCAAACAAGCACCTTCATTAAACTCATTTAAGGTACCACCACTACCTTGACCTAAAGTAGCAACATGAGGTGAGTTGCCAACCTCAAGTTTGGCAGTGCTTATATAACCAGAATAGCTTGGTAGTGAAACATTAATGGAGCACTCGGCATCTCTATTGAGATTATCACTGTGTATTATACAATCAAATAAAAAATGGATCATAAAATGAAAAACATTAAAGAAAGCCTTCAAGGAAATAATGTACAAGTTTTTGCAAACTAAAAATGCAAGTTGCATAATAGGAGTAAACTTACCTAAATGGAATAAATTTTGGTTCAGAAGGTAGAATCAATTGACTATTATCATTATTTAACAGCCAAGCTAGGGGTTGGGCTTCTTGTAGACTGGCCATCATCAGGGGTAAAGTTATGCCTTCCTGTAACTATGAAGTAAAACTATATCAAATAACATTTATCTAGGAAGAGATATAGTGAGAAAGAAAGGGAACAACATGTGCTACCTGGTTAGTGCAATCAAGTGACATTAGTTGGTGTTTTCCCAAATTTTCCTAACAGTGAAAACAACTTGTCAATGATAAGATATTCTAACTTACTATTCTATTAATAGCAAAGATTCTCTAAGGCATGTAGTTATGCCAAAATCCTAATCATTTTTTTTTCAATAATTTTGCTCATATATGAGGCACTTGATGATATGGAATAGAGTGATATAGTTAGCCAACACGAAACAAAATCATACCTTACGTAGACATACTCGATTGATTAACTCCCTTAGTAAGTCTTCCATTTGCCTAAGATGTTCAACATTATTGATCTTTTCTACATTATTCCAATAGCTGAAAAATACAAACATAACATAAAAATCCTTTATGATGGCTACTTGGGCGTTCATCATAGATAAAGTATGCATGACTGAGAAAGAGACCATACCATAAGGACAAGTAAATTATTTGATGAAAATCAAAAGCCACATAAGAAGTAGTCTGAATTAGATGCAATTAAATTAAGGAGAATCATATCTAGACAAAAGCTCTACATCCATGCTTCTTTCTTGAGATTTTAAAAGAGGACAAACTGTTGGGTGAGGATTTAAGATTTCATTTTGTTTTTTCTTTTGGACTCTTTATAGTGTAATATTTCTCTTTATCTCTTCTAAAGACAAAAATTATTTTATCATTCTATCAAGATCTTACTTCATAAATAAAAAGTTCAATTGTTAAATAAACATATTCCAAAAGCCATGATGTCCATGACTAGTACTAATTATATGATATTTCAAACACAACATTAAATTCAATCCATGATTTATTTTCCTTAAAAGTGTCTTAGATAATATCATATGCAACAAATGTAAGATAGCATCATGGATTACAAATTCAATTATGCAATGAAAAGGTATAAATTAATGTCATCACAGGGCATACTATATTTAATAAACTATTTTTCATATAATATAGTTAAAGCTTTTGAAGCAAGCATTGAACCTAATAGGCCAAGTTGAATGAATAAATAGTATAATTTTACAAGACAAAAAACTATAAAGCAACAATGGCCTTTATTGAACATTGGTCTGATGGTAGCAGCATGAATCACAAGAACAAAAATAAAAAGCAATACTTTTACAATTAAAAACTCCAAAGTTGCACCTCAATCTCTGGTGTACTTCAGCAAGCTGAGCTTGTAGCACTCTCAAATGATGAGTCAATTCCTACACATGGCAATTTAGCTTGGAATATTTTGTTGCATAAATGGCAACTTAAGATTCTCAAGTTAAAATGAACATGATGATGTTCATAAACAAAATGTACCTCAACTTGTTGGCTGCTGTAAGAATAAAGGAAGCAAATTGAGACCCTTATAAGATCTTATAGAGGAAGAAATTGACAAATTTGTCTATCACATTCACTTACCTTGAACCTAAGAAATCTTGTATTTTTACATCATGATCCAACTTCTTAAAGGTTTTTTTTAGTGCCTATAATTTAAACAAAACCAAAATTTAGGCGTCACCTCTAGTTGAGAAAGGAAACATTGAATATTTCCTCTAACAAAAGCAATCAATCTAAAAAGCTTAGATAAGAAGGGGAAAGTCATCATACTTCAAGGCTTTCCAATTTCCTGTTCAAATAGTAAGGCGATTAGCTCTTTTATTATCAAGATAAATGGGGAAAACATAAATTTTATCGTCAATTTTCACAAACCTCTTGGCCCTTTCTTGTGGACTTAGTTGAGCAAATTTTTCGATGACCTCTTCAAGATTGCTGAAAATAATAAACAATATTATTATGAACATTGAGCCCACAAGTAACTACAATCTTGGCTTTGACAATACAAGTAACATCTGGATTCAACTTGACTAAGCTTGGGAGGAATCATTCCAATTATGGTTGGAATGACCTGATGTTTTAGGATGAATTATTGTAATTGAAACAAAATATACTTCCATGCCTTGATTTCTTAGAGATTAAAAATGAGTTTCTTCTCATGAATGAAAATGATGTAACAAACATAATCAAAGCAACATGATTTAACATATAAAATTTTGTTTACCACTTGTTAATATTTAATGGGATTACTTTTAATATTTAATAAAAGGAGTTTCTTCCCATGAAAGAAAGATGATCTAACAGTTAGAATTAAAGCAACATAATTTAACATATACAATTTTTTTGGCCACTTATTAATATTTAATAGGATTACTTTTAATCATGTTACGCAAGTTGTTGTGCTTGAGCAATGTAGACTTCCCAGTTCCTAAAATAAAAGAGAACTATATTAAATGCACGTGGCATGAAATATGATTTAGAATAATATCTCATCTTTCTAGGTGACTTTGCCTCATAGAAAATATTTTTAAGGGTTCTTAGAAGTTGGAACAATAAGGATAATTCTAAAACGTATATTAGGATTAGAAACCATTGAAGTTGACCATAAGTGATGTATCAACTATTGCCAAGCATGCAAATCATGAAAGGATATCTGGCTCTGTAGTTCTTCTTAGGTGTAAGTCTTCAACTTATTGGCAAAGGTTTCCCCCTTAATAGGAAAAGATGACTTTATCATTGATATTACCTACGCTCTCCTTGTAGTAATATAGGCTTCCCTGTCGGAGAAAACATGAGAAGGGCAATGTCTATATCACATAATATTGACAATTCCTTGGCTTTCTTCAATATTCCACTCTTTCGCTTTGAAAAAGTTACTTGTCGATTGCTAATGCTCTCTAATTTCTTTATCTTTAGTTTAACTCTTCCCATCCTGTAAATCCAGTATGAGCATGTTAAATACCAAGCATATAATCTCAATGTCCATGAGCAATAAAGAGAAACATCATTAATTGAGCACAAAAATATCGAGAACACTTTTAAAACAATATATCAACTTGCTAAAATTATTAATACAATTTAAGAGAAAGCAAAAAGTTCTATTACAAGTTCTCAAAACTACCAAAAGTTTATTATTAAGACATATTTATGTTTCTTTATAGAAACAAAGAGCGGAGAACCATGTATCACGTACCTTATGAATCTTAGAAAATGAAGGAAATAGACCCAACAACTATGATGATAATAATCACAAGACACCTACTTGAAGAAAATGAACCTTATTGAGATTCTGAAGATGATATATAGATCTTCTCGATGTCACCTAATTAGTGCCCCTAAATGAAAATGTCAAACACATCAGAGAAAACCATAGCGAAAGCAGAGTTAGAAGATGAGGTAACTGCAAAATTGATGAAAGAAGAGAAGGAATTTAAATGAGAAATGGGAAAGCAGGGGGGAATAGAAGAAGAGAGGTGAAGAGGGAGGTCGAAAGACGTAGAGATGGATAAGAGGGAAGAAAGATGAGACGATGGGCGTAGCTAGGATTTCGGTGAAAAGAAATTAAGGAACCAACCAAGCTAAAGACTTGCTTGAGGTTATATGCAAAGGGGCGTTTGAAATGGACGGTGAGATTGTGAGAGATGAATTGTTGGCAACTTTGCAAAGAGTTTCCTACCAAGAAAGCCTTTTCTCTATTTCATGTTTCATGCAGATTCTGTTCTGTTTTTCACATTTTCCTTCCATGGCATTATGAGACATACTTTTTCGCCAAACAGCTTTTTATTATTTATTACCCTTCTTCCATTTTTCCCCCACCTTGTAGGCTTCTAGATATAATTTTTCATATTTATTATCATAAAGTACATGTATTCTTATGTTCAATTAAATAATTTTGAATATTATTATATTATTTATATATTATAAATAATGTGGCTTGTGTAATTGTATAATGCATGGAGCTGCTTAGGTAAATTAAGGAAAAACATAACTTTAAGTCTGTATGTCACTCATATTTTGTTATTGATTCTTATGCTTTTTTTTATAATGTTTTTGGTCTTTATACTTTCATTTTTTTATTATTTTACATCCCTCCAAGATTCTTATACTTTATTTATGGAGGGATCTAAAACAATAAAAAATAAAAAATATAGAAATTAAAAATACTGAAAAAAATACAGGAACCAATAACAAAATGTGAGCAAAGTACAGAAATTTAAAATTATATTTTTTCTTAAATTAACATTATATGAAACTAGTTAACTTAGCATATCATGAAGGGATCTTTTAAAATAGCATTTTTAATTAAGGGTCAATTTTGTTGAAAAATCTTTCTCAAAATAATAACTTATACAAAGTAATTTATTCATATATAGTGGGATATTATAATTATTGTTATTAATATTAAATATACAAATTAGAATAAATCAAATCATAAAAACTAAAATCATGTTGTGTGAATTGATACAATTGGAAGTATATTAAAAAAATCATAATTTTTTAGATTAAGTTATCAAAGACTTTTTTATAAATGACATTAAAAGTTTTATATGTTGAGTGATTATCTTCATCTAAAACTTGTTGAGAATTGATAAGATGGTTATTCCGTGAGTTCCAAAAGTCTACCAACAATCTCATGTTTACCATTGTTCCATTAATTATTTTATTATGTTTGAGGTGAGAGACTCATTTATATTTATTTAGAGAAATTGTTTATTATGATGATGTTATACCAAATCCGAAACGCCAAGCTCAAAAGCAAAAAATTCATGAAATCCAAGAAAAAAAAAAAGATTTTGACCTAAATGTAGTTCAATTAGGTGAAAATAATTAAAACAATGCATTTTTGGAAAAGCTAATCAAGTCAAATGCACTCCTTCTATTATTTGAGAATTTCAATTCACCCATGCTCGCCATATCACACGATGGAACACCTTCAAGAGATTAGAAACATAAACAATTATTTGCTCATGTTGGCACCAAGCATCAAATTCAAATGAAGCACGCTTTTGCCATTTGTTATAAATAAACAATTAATACATAATTAAAGATCTTCGACATTTTGACAAATTTACTCAATACTTATCCAACATAAATTATCCAAATCTTAATCCTGTATCATCTTCAATGTTGCCTTATACAATCTACTCTCTTCATGTAAACTCTCTGCCTTTAGATTAGTTTTTCAAACTTATTTATTTCTCTATTATCATGGAGCATTTTATTATATTTACTTTATTAAGTAATTCGAACAAGTTTCATGTTCATTTGCAACCTACCCACCATCATCGCTCTAGCAAATCACATGACTTTGTAAGAAAATTATGATAAAGGACTTAAAAAATCTTTTTAATCATCTTGTCGCAACTTACTGTTTTAAAAATTTGCTCTTCTAACATGCACATATTTAAACACTTAAATAGTCTTGATGCTCCAACAAATGTCCGGGATACTTTACTTAATTGTTTCGTGTATAATCCATAGAATGGCCAGTCTTGTTGTTTGATAGGTTGGATGAATTATATATATATATATATATATATATATGCATATATATTCAATTATAATAAAATTTGTGGATATATTGGCATTCATCGATACGCCGTGGATTGCCTTCAGGAGGTCTGCACTTGCGCAGTGTGCTTATATGATTCCGATGCTGAAAATGAAAACGGTACGCTGATGCTACTGCTGTGTTGTGAATTTGTTGTCATAAGAGGAAAACCCAATGAGGCCTTCTTCGCCTTCTTCAAGGAACAGAGAGCCGAGAAGAAGAAGCCGCCCCTCATCGCCGGCGGCGGTGAGGGGCCGATCTACTGCCACTCTCGTCGACAGTGACCTCGTTACCATTACTGACCCCACCTCTCTCTTCGAACACCAACAATCTCAGGACTTCTACTCTAATTCTAACCCTAACCCTCGGAGCTTCCCTTACAGTGTCAAGCAGCAATGTTGGGACAAGGCCGAGAAGATAAGAGGGCGAGACCCTGATCGATGGCGCAGGGATGCCCTTGGCAACATCGTCTTTCGCAAGCTTGTTGGTTGCCCCGGCTGTCTCTGTCATGATTATGATCATATCGTCCCTTACTCTAAGGTACTTTAGTTTTTTGAGTTGGGGTTGTGAGGCTATGGTTACTTCTACACTGAGGGGGATTCTCTATTATCTTGTACGAGTATCCTGCTTGATGCTTGTCGATTTCACTTTAAGAAATTGCCTTTCGTGCCGTGTCAATGAGATGCCGTATTTGAAGTTACTCTTCAATGGATTTAGTGGCTACTCAAACTGTAGTTATGTCGAAAGCTAATTGTGTCAGTAGCTTGCTTAAAATTTTTCCTTAAAATTATGGTTGATGTTCCCTTAAGAAGGGATTGCTTTGTCCAGACTAAGTTAGTTACTGTGGAAGATGGATGCTCATCTGATGTCCTTCTCTACCCAGAAAACTATTGCGACGCAGTGGTAAGTTTTGAACTTTTAAGCACCTAGAACGGTTTATTATATGAGCAGTAGGGCAGCTCATGACTCGTCAGTGGAAATAACAGAGTCATGGTTGTTTTCTTGATAAAAAGATGAAAATCAAAATTATGCATAAGAAGATGAACGGAAGCTAAGGATATCGAGTCACCATTTACAAGATAAAACCTGTGATGACATTAAATAGTAGTTTCGTTAGAAGACTTCCTTGAGTCACAGAATAACTTCACTTCGCCCCACATTAGTAATTTAATATGCTGTAGTCATAGCTCAACGCCTGTATAGCACAAGTGCTTTTCCAGGTTGATATGAGCCAATGAACTTGGCAGTTGAGAAATATTCCAAAAGGAATTGACACAGTATCCACTTTTGTGCTGTCAGAATCAAAACACTACCACTATCAAGTTATTCTGAGGAATGTGGGCTAGTAACAATGGCGAATATAATATAGGGAGAAAAATTCTGCGGCACATGGACTAGAGGCATGCTTCTTTCAAGTCTTTGACAAAAAAGAGGCATGATACACACAAGGGCTTACTAAATAAGTTAGCAAAGTTTACTACTTTCCAGCACTTTACTTTTACTTTTTCTTGATGCTTGAAATTTGAATGTTGTGCTGGGCAGGAGATAAATTGTACATATTCCACATTCTTGTGGCAAAATCATTATATATAAAACCTATTGGAAATTGCACTGTCCACAGAACCGTGAAAAGTGCAGCATCCAGCACAAGGAACCCAAGATTTAGTTAGAACTTAGAATATGATGAAATCTCTTTTGCTGCACGAACCTGTAAGAGAAGCTACAAACCTATAAGAGGAGGAATAGGAAAATACAAGGAAAAGGCACGGAACCTTTAGGAGGGGCTGAATGTTGACTTTGCTATTCTTACCCTTGAGAGGAAAGCTATACAGACTTAGTGTTGGCTTGGAGGTTTTCAGGTTTGTCTTAACAGAAAATGATGTTGGAGACTGCAAGATACTTTTGAGGTTATAGTAGTCTCTAGTGTCTTTTGGGGGGAGGTCATATTTTGTATTTTAAGTGAGAAGAGAGACTGGCTCTTGAAAACCAGAGGGCATGCTTGATAGCATTGTAGTGTTGTTTTTCCTAATTGAATGTTTTGGTTGTTGTAGGGAATAGGGTTTGTTTTGAATAAGTGGAGTGTCTTTGTAACACTGATTTAGTCTTTTGGAATCATTAATATCAAACCCTAGCATTTCTCTTGATTTGTTGGCTGTTCTATTGTTGTTATTTCTGCATTTTTATGTGTTGAACAGCAGGTTTTCATTAGAATATGAATGAGATCATTCTGCCATTGCATTAATCAATTTGTTGACTGATCTGATTTTGTTTTCCCCATTTCCACATGATTCATTTGGATGCTTTCAAGTTATAGGGAGGAAAAAGCACGCTGGAAAATTGCCAAGTCTTACAGGTATGATTTGTTTCTTCTCTGTTTCCATTTTGAGGAGTGAGAGGGGATCAGGGGGCTCCTACAGTGACTTGCCATTCCCTATCGATAAAATTTACTATTGATTATGCATTTATGTTGATAACTTCCAAGGTTTCTGTTTATTTAAAATATTGAAATTGTTATCCATCAAACATTGTAATTAACAAATATGCAGAATACTGTTTTATGCAACGTATATCAAAGGTTTCCACGCTGATGCTTGATGCATGTATTTGTGTCAGCTTGCGTGGAGTCTCTGGGCCTAATAATTGTAATTCTGCGTTCCTCTTTGGTTCAGCTTCCTCACAATAATCATGTGACGTTGAATTGTAAAATATATTAATGTGGTGTACGTTTGTCAGAGTACCTAAGAAGCAAATAAAAGTTGTACCTAAATGATGTCTTTTTTCTTACGGGATCCTCACTTCTTTTAGTCTCGTGTGAATGCAGGTGGATGACTAATGAGATAGGCTCTAATTTGTATTTTACTTGCAGAAACCACAATAATTTGATGACCAATGAGATAGGCTCTAATTTGTATTTTACTTGCAGAAACCACAATAATTTAGTTTGTTTCTTATTTGAGTTGCTTTAAATAATTTTAACAAGCAAAGCTCTTTTCTATATTTCTACAGGCAACAGTTAATCGATCAAAGGGAAATCGAACAGAGATGACCAAAGCTGAGCTTATCCAGAAGAGCTCTTACTGCAGGGTATCAGGTATTCATGACCCTTCTAAAGCTTTTATCCAGCTACAACGGTGAAATTAGCTTGCTACAGTAGCAACTGGAACTTTGTTGATGGCCTAAATGCGTTACAGGTCGTGATATGGATCTTCTTGAACTGTCTGCCTTTGGCAACGTCCACCGTGAGCCTGATTCCGGGGGCTGTAGAATCCAATGAACAATCCTTGTCATCTTCCTATTTGTTTGATTTCTAGATAGAGGGTTAAATGATGACATTGTGGCTATCGCTCCTCTCAAAACTTGGGGCTCCATCTTTGTGCAGACGCAACTGCGAAGAATTTGATGGCTCTGTCGTCTGCCAAGCGATTCATATATTGAAGAGTAGCTGCATTCATGCACTCGCGCTCTCTCTCTCTCTCTCTCTCTAAATGAAGAAATTGTAGACATTTTTTTTTACAAGAATTTATGAAGCTCAATTTAACACCAAGCTGTTGAGTACAAGAAATTGCATGAAACCTGATGTCTTATGCTGTTGGTAACTCAGGTCTCTTTATCCTTTGAGTACAAAAATATATTACCTGGCAAAGAAGTTCGAAGATATATTAATTTTTGCCTTTTAGATACCAATAGGAAAATTAACAATATTACGATAATTATAATTATAAATATTATTATTAATATATTAATATCAATAGAAAGTATTCTAATTATATTATATTTTATTCATGAAAGTCCTTCGTAATTTGGAGGTTCGAATTGATTAATTATCAGCATGATATCTTCTTTTTTAAATATAAAAAGAGGGAAGTAGCCCAAAATTACGAACAAAATCAAACTAGGTAGAAATTTAATCCCAAAATGTCATTCTGAACCGGGGCCTTTATTCATCAATCGGTGAATTTAAGTGTGCCTTAACTTCTTGATCTTCTTCTGTGCGGAATCGTCGGCCCTGGCAAGCAACGGAAAGAATGATCCTTACCTTACAATGGGCCCAACGCTATTTAATTTCCCATGGCTTCTAGATGGCTATGAATTACTATTTCCATTAAAAAAAATCCATTTTCACCTGAAGATCTTACTCTTTACCATCACAGGTGTGGAAATCCTTTCTCTTTGTCCAACAGTTCATCAATGTCCTGTACCTTTTTGCATCAATCTGAATCTTCTATATATGTTTTGTCTGGCTTGATAAAACCCACTCAATCCTTCGTCCCATGATTAGTGAAGTATAAAGGGGTTACTACCTTCCAGTCAATTTGTGTTGCTTTTTTCTTTTAATCTGAAAAGCACTTCCTCACAGACACTCTTTCAAGTTTCAACCATATGCCTTTCCAGCACTGTTTTGTTCCTTTTTTTCACTTTTTTAGACGCACCTCCATTTTTAGTGCAAGTGCTATTGCTTTTTTTCATGTAAATTTAAAATCAATCGCAACACGTTTGACTTTATTAATTTTTTTAATCAAGTAACCTCTTTGACTTTATTACTTCTCCAGTTAAACACGATTGCAGGGATGGGCTTTCAACTTACCCTTAAAAAAAGGAAAAGAAGATAGTGCTAAATTAGTGCACTACATAAATCTACTTCGTATTGATCATCAAATAATTTAATATACTGGAGTTTAAGAGTGAGTTGTAGAAGAAAACGTCCTATGTTGGATAAGTATATGCTCTGAAAGACGATATGTATCAGGTTTAATAAAAAAAAGATGACATGTATGAAAAAAGATTTAATAAACTCAAAAGTTTCGAGGTTTCTAAGTTAAAATATAGTGTCAAACCCACTAGTATACTTCCTCCTAGAGCCTTAAATTCCAACTTAATTGAACTGTGACATCTCGAACAAGAATGTGTTGCTCATTTCCAATATAAAGATAAAGAACACTGAGTGGTAAGGTTAGTGGGAAGTTGACTCCACGTCCACTAAAGTTGACATCAAATTGTTTAGAATTGACTAGAAACACGATTAAGAGAAACGCTTTTCTTAATTAAGTCAACTTTTGAAGTGGTCGTGCTTCACTAAACCACGTCCTGGTCCTGGTTGAGTGACCATGGTTTGCTGTTAACAATACCACACAAATTATGAAAAAGTGTGGTGAAAATGGCTGACCAGCAACTTGTTCTGTCAATTATAATCAAAAGAGCATTAAGTAGCTGAAAGCAGTGGAAGAAATGGTGGGACCAATTGCAATGAAGCATTTTGCAAAATGGGTGGCCAAAAGGAAGAAGCACTTTTGACATGGCAAGCAACTGTGTTATAATTTGTCATGATCCAAAACCATCAGTTGAGACTTTGCTTTATTATTATTTATTATTATTATTATCTTCTGCTCCTTTTTCTTCTTCTTTTCTTTTTTCAACAGAAACTCATCGTCATCCTCTTTGCGTGTTAATCTGGTGAAAACCCATCACTAGCAAAGTAAACTAAACTTCCTGGTCATGCCAATTTGGTAATTGGCATGTTTAGGACTATTTGGGTGTGCAGATTTTTCAACAGACTCTGTCTACATAGGTAGCCACAAGATATTTCTTTTCACTTTTGTCATTCAATTATTGAAATACTTATATAATTAAATATTATCATTTTATTTATTTAACTGAAGTTATCAGATATCAGACCTCGTTGAATGACGCATAATGTCCAATTTACATCTTAATGACGGATGGTTTCATGAGGGAAAAAAAGTAGATTAAATTAAAAGTTCATTTACCTATCCATCATAAAATAATTATCTTAAAATTAACTATTTATTTGTAAGCAAATAAACATATCAGAGGTAAATTTTTAAGATATCTAGAATATTTACACATGGCTCTGAAATTATTAATTTGCTATATTTTTATTACCAACTGAACACAAATAAAAAGATGAATGTGTGGTTGTTGAGATGCAAACAGATAAAATTAGGGAATTGACTGTCATTTTCATCGGAGAGTCTGAAAAAAAAAAGGAAAATGAAAATTGGAGGGATATCCTAAACATGTGGGTACAGTTGAGTGCAATGGAAGAGGGTAGATATGAAGGAAGAATTGAAGATGCAGGAAGCCATGGAATGGACGGCAGTAATGGCTAGGAATTTATGATGATGATGCTTACTTCCAACCAACTATCTTTTTTAGTGTTTAATAATTGAATTTTGTTGAGGATAGGCAAATGGAGGAAAAGAGCTGGACAGTCTGTCTTGTGAAATAAAAGACAAAGGGGAGGCAAAAAGGAAAAGATAGGAAAAGCAACAGAGAGTGCCAAAAGGGCTTGAGTCATTTTTGAGCATTTGGGTCCCACCCACAACTCATCTCATGTGGCTTGTATTAGATTGAAGCAATCAAATATCTCAAGTGTTTTCTTCTGGTTGGTTCGTCAATTACACATGTTGAGCTGATTTTCCCCCCCAAGTATCCTCCAAAGACCTCTATGAGAAAGTTATATTTCATTTCATTTCTTCAAGCCTTTTTCAAATACTCCAATCTATTATCAATTAAAAGAACTGGTGGTTAAGTTATGACAGCAATTCTGGCTCACGCATGAAATTGAGATGTAAAGATTTAATCTTCAGATGGGTAGTTATATATATATATATATATATTGTCTAATATAAGCGTATAATCTATAGAGTGAAGAGTCAAGGCATTGTGTCTGATTCTTAACTGGGTACGCAATTGTTGAGGGAGATTGTTAGTCAGTATCTGATAAAAATTGTTATCTCAGAGCAACTAAAGTTCAAATATAGAATTCATTGATGATATGAAAATGATGGAAATTGATGCTTGGGAGAGTAAAATAGGAAGAGTAATTTTTTACCTTTGTTAGCAAACTTTCAGAGCAAGGAGATTTATTCTAGTATTGACCCCATAGAAACCATTATTCATAATATGGGTGCGTGTCTATACATACACGTCACTTAAGTTATTTTCTTTTCTCGGGTAACCCAAGCATTAGATTATATCTCAGTGCTCAGTCTCAAAACAAAATTTTTTTCCCTTAATCTGCAGTTAAAAAGTCTTTCCTCTTTCTCATTTGAGTACAACTTATATTTCTTATTCACCCCTCATTTGAGTTATATCGAAGCTGCAATACCTTTCATACCCCATGCTTCTTTTTTTTGGGGGGGAAAAAAAGAAATAAACTGAAAGCTCATATATCACTTATGGACCAGCATATATCTGTTGGCATAGGTGGGGAAGATAGATGCCCAATTTGAGGGGTAATTTAATGCTGGAAAGATCGAGAGATGCATGCTTTTCTTTCTTGTCTTTTTTCCGCTTTTACTTAAGTTCTCAAGTGATTTTACCAAAAAAGAGGGGAAAATATCAAGGAGAATTTTTTTCTAGTGGTCCACCTTTTCTGCAGCTTGTTTTGATCCTATGGATCAGAAAAAGAGAGGTACTTGGCGGCCTTTTTAATGGATGCAAGACCATCCTCTTATGCGCTAAAGGATGACCCGAGACATCAATTCTCTTTGCATGTTAATTCTCCATTTTAGCCCCATTTTATTCATCTTTCTCTGTCATTCTCTCAGTGTGCCAACTGTAGGAACAACTTTAGGCACATATCATCAAAAAGCAGGTCTCTGATGCTTTCTTTATTTCTTTATCCCAAATTTACTTATGAAGATAAACAAATTCAAAGCTAAAAACTAATTCAGCGAACTTATATATATTTGAATCTCTGTATTTGATTATGTCAGTCTGCTATTTATTTTTTAATAGCAAGTTTTTTCAAGACATCACAGCCATATAGACGTCACATATGACAAGAGTCTCCACTATCCACTGCTTTTACTTGCCATTTTTTATTATCATATTTCTCAGACAGGACTTTTGCTCTTATCTTTAGAAAAAACAGATACTGTTTCTGCAGTTCACGTGGAAGGGAGGAGAGAACTATACCAAGAAAAGTGACATTTTTATTTTTTGAAAGAACCGACACTTGTACAAGAAAAGAAAGACCAAATTTCCTGTTCCACAAGAAAAGACAGTGCCTCAGGATTTTTATGCATAGTAAGGATATTTTTGCATCTCCAGGAAGTGTTTTTACATATATATTTTTATATGTACATGAACTCAGACTCACAAAACTAAAGTACATTAAAAAAGCCACCTGTTCAAGGAGTCATATGAAAAGACAAAAATTTAGTTCCCCCCTCCCCACTAAAAACTCCTCAAGATTAGCTCCAATTATGCTACGGACATCCAAGACGATCACCGTCCTCTGGCCCCTATGGCCAGTGAGGGCAATCAAATGGCAAGTACTTGCAGATGCTCATCATCTCGTCTAGGTCACCAGAGAAGCTAATTCAGGAGTTCTCATGAAAGTTAAGGGATCTAGATAAGGCTGCAGGGTTAGCCCGCAACACCAGTGAGGCTTCAACAACATGATCCTTGTCGTCCTTCTTAGATTGGAAGGCCTTAAACATACCTCCTCCACTGGCTGATTCATTCTTGATTCCGAGAGTTGCCCATATGGAACTCTTTGCAGCTTCACTTGGATCA